CACATGCACTGAGAATTGTATGTGATAAAATTACTCACACAATAGCTCCTTCAGAAAAAAAAAAGAAAAAGAAAAAGAATACTTGCTTGATATCTTTATTTTTCTTTCTAAATTTTAGGCAGTTCTCCCCTATTTCATAGATATTGATCACACGGTTTACTAAAATATCAATGTTAAAAATTCAAACTTAATTTTCTACCTCTGCGTGACTCTCAAGATTATAACCTGTGGGATGCCACTAAAGTCCTTACATAAGTGTGAACCCTAGTTTGATTTTGTTTTCTTCTTCTTTTTTTTTTTTTTAGGGGAAAATGTTGAATTCAGGATCTCCTACCTATAATACCTTCGACTTTACCATCCAATCCGACGCTTCCCTATTTTATAGATATGCACACGGTTTACTAAAATGTCAATAGTTTGAATGTTAACATTTCAAAATTTTCTACTTGTGTGTCACTCTCAAAATCATAGCCCGTGTGAGCGATGCCATTAAAGTCCTCACATAAGTGTGAATCCCAGTTTGATTTAAAGAACAGAATAACCGTATATAATTAGTGTCTAAATATCCTTTTACTTAGATGAAGGTTTAGAAACACTTGCGCCAGCAGGGAATTCATAGCCCGTGTTTGATTTGATAATGTGGAATATATTTTTGGTACCTTAATTAACTAATGTGCAGTATCTTGTACTAGTAATTATTGGGTTTCTATTTGCTTCTTCTGCAGATTTATTCATCTTCACTTGCAGATTTATTTGTGCAGTTTGAATAAACTAGCTTCTTTCATATATATATATATATATATATATATATATATAGAGCGAGGAGATAAATTTAATACAATCAAACCAACATCTGTTGCTTCTGAAAGACGCTTGTGAAATGTGCACCATTTGTTTGTTTGAGATAGCAAAATATTTTTTCAATTGATTGGATATTATCGTTTTTTTTTTTAAGAATTTTTTCTTTGACACCGTTACTACTAATTGTTTCATTACCATCCTCATCGAAGGATCACTTACTTAACATGGAAATCCGTGCTAAATAAAGTATCGTGTCTGTTGTTGTGTCGTCGTCCCTTTGCTGAAATCAAAGCCACCACCGTCCACGGTAGTGGTAAAGCATCAGACCGGTATGGTTTGGTTGGTGACTACTGGAAGCCCTCCTTTTTAAAATTCTTTACGCTGCATTTCTCTCTCGAGAATTTATGTGTGTCGGGATCAACTGATCCATGACCAGGAGGAATCGAGGCTTCCTTCATTGGTGAGCCATTCCGTTATTTTAGCATGGTTGAGTTCACAGTCCCATGCACCGACTGACTTCTTCCCGCCGATCATTTTTTAACTGACGCCTTCCCTGATCCATTGGCCCCTTCTATAGATACTCGTTGCTGTAGCTGTATATTTACGCTCAAATTCATTGATTACCCTATCAATATTGTATACATCCACATGTATTACTTTCTTGATTAACCTGTACGAGTCGGACATCTATCGATCTAATCAAACCCGTAGTCGACCAACAACAGCAGAGATTGAGTAAATTAACCTGCAGTACTGCAGGAGAGGAAGAACATATATATATATACATACAAATTAATGAAGGTGCATGCCTAATGTCTGCTGTCTGTAAGTACGTGCATGCATGGAGGCAGTGCTGTACTGCACAGTCCATTGAGACATTTACGCTGGTTATCACTTGAATCAAGAAGGTCTAGTATTAAGCTAAATGGTGATTAAGGGGGAGAATGACGATGGAGATTAAAGAATTAATATCGTTAGCAATATTTTCTTGGGCTTGATGCTGCGCGCATTTGGATCATTGACCTCCCGCGCGCTCCATAAAACTAGTTTTTGCGGATGCTTACAACCAAAAGACAACATCCAATCCAAGTTTGAGAAAGAAGCCAAGGAGGACGTCGATCGATCGTCAGTAGAAAGATAAAAAAAAAATAAAAATTGTTTTAATTTACTGCTGCTTGCGCATGTCACTCCAACTTAGACCCAAGGCGCGCGCGCATATTGTCGAACTCGATGTATCGTTTCCTTGTTTGTCGATTGTCATGTGATGTGGTTCGCCTGGCTAGCTCCTTTGGGGGCCAAACTTCAAGAGACCTCCTCCCCTTTTTGATTGATTGTCTTTGCAAATCCAAATTACACACAATTCTCTCTAAACACATATATGGGATCCGCACATTGACTTCCTAAGCCTCCCATTCCATCGATCGATCGATCGATCGATGTTCAGTAATTAATTAATTAGCATTTTACGTTTATCCGAAGAAGATAGATCCTGCATAATTAAGGCCTGCCATTTCTCGAATGGTACGTGAACATATTCGTGTCTGTTTTTCCTTCTCTTGCAATAACACAAATATCGACCACCGAGCATTCCTTACTCCGAAAATTGTGAAACTTTTCTTTCTTTCTTTCTTTCTTTCTTTTGCATGTGATGTGAGGGCTTTCATATATCAGAATGATATTACGTGCTAAGTACGTACGCATGACTGGCCAGCCACAATTCTTTCCTTTGCTCCGCTTCATATTTGTGGATGCTGAACCTTTTCTCTTAGCATCGTTCTGTGAAAAAACTGAAAAGCAACATGAAGCACACATACACTTCCGGGAAAAAGGGCCACTTCTGATTAAGGTCAAAACAGCTGATTACAAACTGGCTGGACAATTTTTTTGGTTTATCAAATACTGCACGTACTTGAACGAATTCTGAGTTAAACAAACACCCATCATTTCTGATGTTTTTAAGAAACTTAACGTTCAAGTTTCCAAAGGAACTAGTAGTATTATATATATCTACCTACAAAATCGCCATGTCATCATTCTTTGTGCGAGCATTTCAGTACTCGGATACCGAATCATCAATGACAAATGGACTAGATGTTCCTATCTTCCCTGAGATTTAGTCCCGCGTCAATAAATTTTCAACATGCGCGCATTTTAAACCATTAGTAATTCAATAACTGAACATAATGCAAAGTAAGTTCTAAACAGTTTAATTAATCCTTTTGGGGAATTTGACAAAGCCAAAGATGGCTGAAGAACAAGTTATTGACTGCGTAATGATGCGAACAAAAAATATCATCCGAAGTTTCAACGTAACCTAAAAGTGAGATAGATGCAAGGAGCATAACGTTTTTTTTTTTTTTTTTCTTTCTTGAAAAATGAGAGAGCATGCACGCAGAGCAGAGACAAAAAGACCGGAAGCAAAAAGCTCAGAAAGAAAACTCTATTTCATCAAGGTCGCCAAAACAAACTTTAGGATTTCAAATATTCGCCCTTTTCAACTGTTTTTCCGCAATTATGCAAGTAGCAGTTGAGGATTCCAAACACTCGAACTCAGATCCAAACTTTGTTTTCATATTTTCAACAATTATTACCGGTCAACTCTTTTTATCCAAAAATCTCAGTCACTCTTTAAATTTCATTTAATGCAAAAGCAGGGAATGAGTGCCTGAGATTTTTTAAAACAATATATAAACATGTTTTTTAAATTATTTAATTATATTTTTATTTTACGTATATTACATCAAACTTCTTTTTTCTGTGTTACATATATCACATTACTTTAGAAAGAAAGGGTGTAAAAAAAATTTTATCCAAATAATCTTCCATCCAATTTGAAGAATTCCGAACATAGCTGGGTGACTTGGTGAATGAATCCCCCAACTTAGGCAATTACTGCTGCTAGTTACGAAGCTTGAATAATTCCGCTTCACAAATGAGTGTCCACCAGTACACCAGAGGAGGATCACCGCACTGAATCGGACCAACCACAAAGTGTCTCGACAGTAATCATGTGCGATACGTGCGGTAAAAAGATCATCGTTGTTGGGCAACAATTTCACCAGAGCAGGGGTGGCCAAGTTGTGATAAATGATAGCTGGGTCTGGCCGTACACCGCAAGATAATTTTAATTACTCCCGTCCCTCTCGCGTGTATTTCACCATGTCAGTGCCCGGGAGAGAGTCCCAGACACATTACATAAGGTCGCGTGGTGTTGCCTGTCTCGAGAGTAGGAATTCGAGAGAAAGGTTAACCCCAGAGAGCCGTACATTACCGAATTATAAATGGCGGCACATCCTAGGTTGCCCGCCACGTTATTTGCAGCTGTAAAAAAAGTAAATTTTAAAATCTCATAAACAAATACTACTGTACTGCTAATAAATAATATTCTGGTACAGCAAAATTTAGAAGGTAAAAAAAAAAAATATATATATATATATATATAGAAAGAAAACAGAAGAGATTTCCAAAACGAAGATGTGCAATTACCACAATACCCTGACCAACCTCTTTTGTCCGAACGCCCATTAGGCGTCGAATCGCGGTAATTAGGGCATCAAAGGGAGGGACCGAAATTATTAGCCGATTGATCATCAAGAAGTTACCACAAAAGTTAAAAAAAAAAAAAAAATCGTCAAGAAGTAAGGCAGCACTACTAGTACTAGTGTGGCAGTAGTCGTAGTAGCGCTGAGTGAGTCTCTGTACAATTGGTCAAAGCAGTGAGTTGCTGTAATTGGCTTTATAATTTGACCGACATATTTTAAGTGGGCCGAGCATCCTGGGCCTCACGTGACCGGCCACACGTAATTCGAGAAGGGGAAAAAGAAATCGTGTGCTGATTCAGCACCACTTGATGTTCACTCATTGGGCCAACGTCTATCAACGGGGGCCACTTGAATTACGTGTCCAAATCGCAGACCGCCAAATGACGCTGGGAGCCGTGGCCAGTGGCCGGAATCTTTGGGCCACCAATCGCCGACGCCGGCGACTAGCCCGATTAAATCATTAAAGATTAATATAGAGTTTCCTAAATTGACAGCCAGAAATTTTTATTTAGAGAGAGAGAGAGAAAAGATAAAAAAAAAAAGAAAAAAGATTGCGTCACTTTTTTATTGCCTAATGAGAACACATAAAATAATGTGGTAAAAGGCAGAAAGGAAGAGAAGACTACTACTATAGGAGTAGTAGTAATTGAAAAAGATGCGTATTTCGGGGTTTCCAATTTCGGCTGGAGGGATCCTATAAAACAGCGATTTCAGTGTTCTGGTCTCCATTGCAGCCAACCGAAACATACCTCTGCCTCTCTTCCATATTTCTCTGTCCTATATCTCTTGTGAACGCTCCGGACTGTTCTTCTTCTTCTTCTTCTTCGTCTGCTTCTCGTCCTTCCACTTGAGTTTGGCTGTTTTGCTTTGCTTTGCTCAACTGAAAGTTTCTGAGTTTGTTTTCTTGGAAAGAGTTTCAAGGAAGAAAGTAACTGAGATTCTTAGGACGGGAGAATCTAAAGATTGAGAGAGAGAGAGAGTATACGTTTGCTTTTTCCCTCAACGACAGAAATAGATGGAAAGAATAGCACTGCAGTTTCCTCGTTTGGGTGCCTAAAAATATTCAAGTCCCCTGTTCAAGTTTTTAAGCCTCAGAAATTGCTCTTCTTCTTTCTCTCTTTGGCTTTTTAGCCTTCTTTCTTAGGTTCATTCGCTTTCTCAAAAGCTCTGGAGTATCTCGCTAGCTCTCGTGTGCTGCTGCTTTCTGGGTGTGTTCAAAACCCATCTTTTAACGTAGGCATTCTTTTTGTCAGATTTTTTTTTTTGGTGGCGTGGCATCAGCAACATGTCTTCGATTCTCTCATCTGTTTTTGGTTCTCCTCTTTGACGGTTCCTCCCCTCTTTATCCTTCCTTTGTAGTTGTAGAGTGATATATATGTGTGTGTTGGCCACTTCAAAGCAATCTTCCTTTATCTTCACGCTCTCTATTCCTCTGGCTTTTTCTTTTTTACACTCCCAATAGACTTTCCCTTACTCTTTTATGTCGTCTTCAATTCGAATAGTAGAGCGACTGCAACTACTCTGGTAAGAATCCAACACTCGAAAGTCTGGGGGGTAGGGGAGAAAAGAAAAGGAAAAAGAAAGAAAATGGTGGTTCGCGGTTTTTTATGTCCGGTAAAATACACCGAGCACCGAAGCCTCACCAAAAAACTCGCCCTTAAGCCCAAAAAATCCTCTGAGCGTAGCTCCATTGTTCCCAGGACGGTTCGGATATCCGTTACCGACCCGGACGCTACAGACTCCTCCAGCGATGAAGACGAGCTTTTCGGAAGGCTACGTGTGAAGCGGTACATTAGTGAAATCAAAATCGAAACTGCTGCAGTTTGCCAACAAAACAGCAATAATGTTATCAGCGCCAGCAGCAACGCCCTCGCTCCTCGTCATCATCCCAAGAAGAAGACTGCAGAGGCACTCCAGGCTAAGCAGAGGCCGATGAAGGCCAAGGAGCCGCCAGTCCCCGCTGCGGGAGGTGCTGTACGGAAGTTCCGCGGCGTAAGGCAGAGGCCTTGGGGTAAATGGGCTGCGGAAATCAGAGACCCCTCCACACGTGCCAGGCTCTGGCTGGGCACTTTCGACACTGCCGAGGAGGCTGCCATGGTTTACGACAACGCCGCCATTAAGCTCCGTGGTCCGGACGCTTTAACCAACTTCGTCACTCCTCCGGCCAAGGAAAAGCCCCAAGTCAACGTGGCGTCCACCTCCTGCTACGAGTCCGGCGAGGAGTCCCACAATCTGTCTTCTCCTACTTCTGTTCTCAGGTTCAGAAGCAGTCAGTCTAGCGAGGAAGCTGAACCGGAATGCCGGTCCGAAGGTGTGGAAGGCCCGGTTCCTGCTGATTGTACGGACGAGCAAACGGTTCAGGAGGAGACGGACGGTGAGCCGTGGCAAGAACCGGTCCCGGAAGTAGCTGAGGAGTGCCAGGGTGAAACGAGGGATATGATACCGGATTACTCGAACGAATATATGCCCATGGACGTTCCTTTCCTAGACAATTTCTTCAATTTCCAATCTCCGGAGCAGATAACCTTTGACGACACCGTTCCCCCAAGTTTTTCGAATGATACGTTTGACCTGGGATTGGACGTGTCATTCGATGATGACCTGCTGCCGGGTTTCCTTGATGACACGGCAACAGCGGGCGCTGGATTCGGAGAGTTTAATGATTCGTTTCAGGATTTTGGTTCAGTGGAGCTGAATGTGGATGATTATTTCCAAGACATGAACGATTTTGCTAGCGCAGATGCTCTCCTGGCAGTATGATCACCAGATGCTTGCCCACACCCACCAGTATCAAGCTTTTTTTCGCCGGCATGCCATCTTTCGTGGCAAATTTTGTCATAGGCGATCATCGGACCGTGTTTTTTTTTAACAAAAAAAAAATCTTAATTCTATTTATTAGTTTCCAAAATAATTTCAAAGTATAGTGGTTGTTTTTTTTGGGGGGGGGGGGGGATCTTCATTAGAAACAGAGTGGAGATTTTTTACTATCTAGGAAGTTGGTTGAGATTTTGTAGTATTATTTATGAGTAATAATAGGTCTTTCCAGGAGTGTAAAAAACTATATATTGCGGCTAAATAAAATCAATCTGATAGTGAATTATTTCTCATTTTTCGTTGTTTAATTTCATGGACGGAATCTCTAATTACTAATTAACGTGTTAATTCAATTGAGATCTGATCTTATTTGGTATGGTTTGAGACATTATTGTGGCATTCTTTTTGCCCACACGGGCAGGCGCAAATCGCGGTTGTCCATTTGACCGAGCACCAACCACCCACCCCCCCCTGGGGGGAGGGGTTGGCGTTGGATTTTGGCCTTGGCCGTGTGAAAGTCAAAGTTGTGAAATCCATTTTGAGTTGTGTAAAAACTAGAGAGAGATTTGGCAACGCTAAATCAGGATTTAGCAGGAGAAAGAAGTATGGCGTCGTGTAAGGACTACGGCCGTCCCCCACTTGTGCTGAAAAGGGCTTGTGCGGATTGCGGCAATTATTCAAAGCAATAAAGTTTGATGGACGTTTGAGTTAGCAGTGAAAAAGGGAGAAGATATGAAAGAGGGATGCTGCTATTGCTAGCTAGTGCTTTTATCATTTTTACAGCCGGCATTAACTGTTTGCATTTAGTCAGGCACTCACCATTCGTCCCTGGTTTGAACTTAAATCTCTACTAGTTAGTCACCTTTTACAAGAAAAAATATATATAATTACTCCTTCCTACTTTTATAGTCCTATTTTTTTTTTTATCTATTTCAAATTATAGTCCACTGTCTAATTAAAGAATGTACTTATATTTTAATTTTTTTTGAAATACCCTTATTCAGTATAGGTTGTTATTAGCATAAACTAACTTATTTAATATAGATTGTTATTGGATATAACCTATCTCATTTAAAACATTTACATTTTTCAAAACATATTGATATATGAATGAGGATTGATTTTTTCTGTATCATCAATTCAATTTCCCATAAATCATTAATTCAAAATTTCATGAATAATTAATATAAAGTTGTACTTTATTTAATTTAAGGGTATTTTAGAAAAATAACAAAGTAAATTTATTTTTCCAACAAAGTTAACTATTTTTTCTTAAATGTATAAAAAAAAAAATCAGAACTGTCAAAATAGGACGAAGGAAGTAGTTCAGAAAAAGGTGCTACAAATTATATATAACTCCCTCCCAACCTTAATCCCTTAGCTTTTCTGTTTTGTTTTCAGGTTCATAAGTGGTTAGTTCGCTAAATCAAATTTTCTCCGAGGAAAAAAAATTAAGGAAGTTATGAAGTCACTCATGTGGGATTTAGTAACAAAGTGTTCGGCCAGTGACACTCCTAAGGAATGAAATAAATCCTTTAATTAGTTGTCACCCCTATCAGCATCACCTTGCGCTAGAATTGGAAAGCAACTCTTATTTGTCATTGTCAGCCGCTATTAACTTTTCCATTTTCTGGTAGAAGTCAGACACCACTGATAGATTTGATGTCTAAACTAAGCAAAGTTTCCAAAAGTAGCGTGTTTCTTCTGTTCATTTGTTCTTTCTGTATGTGTTTTACGGGTATGATCTAATGTGATGCGTCCAGATCATTTCTGTAACAATGCACCCGTTTGAATAGAAATTGTTGCAGGAGATCAACAGCCTCAACAGTCTACAATGGATTGGAAACTTTGGAATTTATGCATTCTGGTTCCTTGCTGCAAATGCTCTGAAGCATACATAATATACCATAACAAGCAAGGAGGAAGTAGCTGACAGTCAGACAGAACTAGGCTTTGTCTCTCTCCCGTTTGTTGCCTGTAGGAAGCAGCGGAGTCAGAAAAAATTTTCAGTCAGGGTAAAAGCAACACTAAAAATTTTAATCTATTCATTTTCTAGTTTTTTAAGCAAAAAAAATATTCACTAATAAGTTGAAATGAAAAAAAAAATATTTTAACTTATTTTAAATGAAATTTCGTGACCCACATATTCTTTTAGAATGTTAGTTTACGAACCAACTTAGAGGATCAAGCAATTCTTTCATTTTTTTCATAACAAAATTCCGGAAGCACACTTAAAATTACATTAAAATCCTATGAATAGTATAGAAATTTAAGGGGGCAGTGGTGGTGCTCTCACCTTAAATCCGCGACTGCCTATAGGTATTGTGTCAATTAGGCAATTAAGCTACAAGTAAATGTAAATATTTGACCCTGGAATTTTCAGATGATTTTTGGACATCCAACATTCGATTGTCCTCTACTGTACCACTCTGGGTAGGATCGGACGGCTGATTCAGTAACCTTAGGCAGCAAAGATTGCAGAGGCTAAATCGTTGAACATGCACGTCCATGTCAAATCAGAGCGGACAGCCACCTTTTGCTATATCATCATCATTATGTTGGGAGTGGAAAAATTTTATGGCGGTGCAAATCAATTGGTTGGCAAGCAACTGGACAGCCTAGCGGTAGGATACTTCTTGCGTTCTTTCTAGCGCTGTCTCAACTTCCGGAAGTGGCTTCCTTCTCAGGATCTCTGAAGAAAGAGTACCGGGGGCGTGCTATTATCGGTCTAGATTTGGGACCAAATGAGCATAACGATTCAGAAAAATACACAAGTCATACATACGTCGTAGTTGCTCAAATATAAGTTGAGACAAATCTTCAGAATTCTTGCAATTCTTTTGTATGACGATCTGCTTTTTTGTGCCCTTTCAAACTCCTCAACTTATTCAGCGAATCTCTAACTCCCGTCGTCTTCCTAGTTAATGGGACCAAGAGGGATTTTCATTACAGCTGGTTGGAGACGATTCATCTGATAAATTGTGAATTTTGATCTACTTCTTTTATGTGCGCGCGAGTACCGAGCAGTATGTAAACGCCACAAAAGCCTTGGAAAAAGTTGATACCCGTTGGGGTAGAATAATTTTCTGTCTGTAGTTCGATCGAATTATAAAACCTGCAATTTCAGTCCTCTTTGGTATATCTCTGCCAATTTATTCAGAATTGGAAATAGTGATAAGCTAAATCGCCTCATCATCTCCTTGTGCCCTTCATCTCCTTTTCACTGCTGGATAGAACGTTGAGTGTAGGGATCTGGCAAGATTTTGCAGGGATTCGTAGTTTTTGCCACGCTCAGTCTTGTTTGGATTGCTGTTTTTCGTCGAAAAATTATGTCGTTTTCCGTAATCACATTTTCCTATTATTATTATTATTATTATTATTATGCGGAGAGCCCCTCGGACTGACATCTGATATTTTTCTTCGTTCCATGTTGGTGCTCCTCCTCCGGTTTTTGTTACGCTAGATATTCGCATTATTCCTGAGGCCTCAAAAGGACCACAAGTACCGCTTCTACTAAAGGTTGCACTGGAAACAAAGAGTCAAAGATTAATTTTTTGAAGGTTGGACAATTGGTTGAGAGATTCGTTTACCTTTTTTTTGGTTTAATTTTATTCGATTATTTCACCTGTTGCAAGATTGAGTGATTGTACTTCCATTTTTTCCCCTTTATACGATGACATTTTGGGTTGCAAAATTCATCACTTGTTCCTTTTGGTCATGACCAAAAAAGGGAAAAAGGAGGGAGACGGGGTTTCTAGTAGGGAGGGGAAAGGGAAAGGAGGGAGGGGAAAGAAGAAAGAAAGAGAAATGAGGGATGAAGGGGAAAAAAAGGAGATGGAAGAGGAAGGATAAGGTGGTGATGGTGGGTATCAAGTTTTGATTTGATCAATGGAGAGAGAATGAGGAGGGAGGGGAAAGGGACAAGAGAAAAAGGTAGGGATAGGAAAAAGATAGAAGAGAAAAGAAGAGGAGCGATGGTGGGAAAGGAAGGGAGATGAGGAGTGAGGTAGGGGTGGTGTGTGATAAGTAGAGTAAGCAAGAAGGGTAGGATTCAAAAAAAAAAAAATTTATTTGATATATTTTTGGGTAAATGTATTTGGTGTAGAATAATCTTAATTAAGATCTTGTCTGGAAAAAATAATTATGATTTGAGGTCCTCTAGCTTTTTGGTTAGATCTGCCTTTGAAATTGGCTGGAAATAGGCAGTTGGTCAAATTAGTAGTATGACTCTGACATTAAGTCACTGTTTGCTTCGAGGGAATGGGAGGGAAATGAAATGGAGGCTTAAGATTTTTGATGTTTGTATTGATTTTTGAGGAGAAAAAAAGAAAAGATTGAGAGGGACAAGATTCAAGTCACTTGACGGATCATCGATCGTGGCTAGATAGTTTGGTAACAAGACGGAAATCCCACCGTGGAAGAAGACGAGAACATCCCAATCCCCATCTCAGAAAACCTGTTGATGCACCACCGCACCCTTATTATTTTATTACAACAAAAGACAAATCCTCGAAAATCAAATATCCATCTTGCCCGAAGATTTCTCTTAAACGTCAATATCCTCCACCGTATCGGTCAGGGGACATGCTTTGCAGGCACCCCCTGACACGAAAACCATTTGTGCAGCAGCTTTGCAAACTTCTCAGTAGATAGTAGCCGTAAACTGAAATCCTAGTGTCATCTTTGTAGTAATTTTTTTTCCAAAAAAATTCTGACCATTATCTGTCTATATGCGTCCTTGCGAATGGTGGGCAAGTTAACAGACGTCGGCATCTTACGGGTCATAGAGCCGGAAAAGGTTAAAGATTACAGTGTCGGAGCAGGCCATGGCCTGGCCTGGGCCATCATCTCACAATTAAAACTGATTAGGCAAAGGGGAAATCATGGACGTAACAAGAGGACCAATCCTCACACAGGGAAGTGCCCCAGCTGTTGGGCTGCTACCAAGACACCGCCACTGTGCAAAATCATCACGGTATGATTGTGCTGATTTTCTGATTATACTATTAGCTAGTTTCTAAAGCCTGTTTGCCCTGCCGTATATGGTTAATTGTCGTCATCATGTCCTTCTGATCTTCTTTCACGTGAGCTGGCTTTCATAATTTTTACCCATTGCCCGGTAAAA